TGAAATTGAAGTTTTTCATTTTTATTTAAAATTTCAACTTGCACGGAGATTTCTACTATGTTATTATGAAATCGCAGGAAGTATCTAGTCTGCAGTAACAGTTTTAATGATATCTTTTCTACCTATCGAGAGGCATTTACCATAGTCAAATTTATTAATTCCTTGTGCATTAATGGGTTACTCACGTAGAAGAATAAATAATTAAATAAAATGCAATGCTTCTGCATTAATTTAAACCTCCAAGATCTTTAAAATTCTAATGAATTGAAATATTATTTTTAATTTGTTAATAAAAATATTAAATTTGTGCTATTGGTTCACAAGTTATTTAATTCCTCAGAAAATGCCCGCCAACAAAGCATCGAAACACTATCACCACGTAGTGATAAATACCCGAACTAAATCTCCCGCATATACACAATAGAAGATCGTCGAAAAATATTAGTTGACAAAATTTGGGTATTAAAAAATAAGCCAAGCATCTGTCATTTACTGCATTGATATCATATAAACAACAGATGAAATAGCGCTGTAAAACATAATTAATTGCTTTTTAAAATTGTTTTAAGAGACCATAGGTTGATAAAATGGAAATCTAATGAATTTGTTTTATCATATTACGAGTTACATCTTGATAGATCAGAGGGTGTTGATGGTACTCTAGCTCTAGCGGCATTGTTGACTATTGTTGATCATGTATACATTTTTGCAGATGTCAATCTAGACCGGGCAGATTTATATATATATATATAATTGTTCATAATTATATTCATTTTAGTAGTGAACATAGTAACTGCAATGTCACATTCAAAAGGTATATCAATAAAACTTGAAAGTATTTTAAATATATGTTGCGATTGTTTCTTTATTTATAAGACAATGAACACGTTAAATATATGCGACGACGTGCTAAGCATCTGCTTATCAAAATAAACAAGAACGATAGTAAATAATCGTTGTCGAATTTCGTTAGTTTAAAAAGGATGCAATGAAAACATTAAAACTTTCACTTTCTCGTTTTATGGTTGAAACTAAGGAGGCAGAAAAACACACCAAGGCAATAAGAAGATTAACATCGGCGATAAAGGAAAAGAAGTGTTGAAGAATCTAGACGAGAACAGTTTGGTTGTGCAACAATTTCGCGTCTATGCAGCAGAGTTAGACGACAAACACGATCGATATGAGAGGATCTTGAAAATTGGTAGAGATATCACAATAGAGAGTAAAAGAATTATCTATCTTCTACACAGCATAGACAAAAAAAGCAAACAGGAGAGTGTATTAAATGAGGCCAAAATAAGACTGCAAAATGTTGCACAGAATAATTTTAAATGCATCGCTCTGGAATTGGAGAACGAAGATGGCTATCAATACTTGAGAGCTTATCGTGGTAGTTTAGAAGAATACATAGAAGCATTTACCTTCTACCATTATTTAAATAGTAATAATTTAGAAGACTGGACAGAATTGGAAAAAATGATTACTTATACAATTACAGACAGACCCGAAGTACAGACAATAAATACTTTGGTCANTGAAATTGAAGTTTTTCATTTTTATTTAAAATTTCAACTTGCACGGAGATTTCTACTATGTTATTATGAAATCGCAGGAAGTATCTAGTCTGCAGTAACAGTTTTAATGATATCTTTTCTACCTATCGAGAGGCATTTACCATAGTCAAATTTATTAATTCCTTGTGCATTAATGGGTTACTCACGTAGAAGAATAAATAATTAAATAAAATGCAATGCTTCTGCATTAATTTAAACCTCCAAGATCTTTAAAATTCTAATGAATTGAAATATTATTTTTAATTTGTTAATAAAAATATTAAATTTGTGCTATTGGTTCACAAGTTATTTAATTCCTCAGAAAATGCCCGCCAACAAAGCATCGAAACACTATCACCACGTAGTGATAAATACCCGAACTAAATCTCCCGCATATACACAATAGAAGATCGTCGAAAAATATTAGTTGACAAAATTTGGGTATTAAAAAATAAGCCAAGCATCTGTCATTTACTGCATTGATATCATATAAACAACAGATGAAATAGCGCTGTAAAACATAATTAATTGCTTTTTAAAATTGTTTTAAGAGACCATAGGTTGATAAAATGGAAATCTAATGAATTTGTTTTATCATATTACGAGTTACATCTTGATAGATCAGAGGGTGTTGATGGTACTCTAGCTCTAGCGGCATTGTTGACTATTGTTGATCATGTATACATTTTTGCAGATGTCAATCTAGACCGGGCAGATTTATATATATATATATAATTGTTCATAATTATATTCATTTTAGTAGTGAACATAGTAACTGCAATGTCACATTCAAAAGGTATATCAATAAAACTTGAAAGTATTTTAAATATATGTTGCGATTGTTTCTTTATTTATAAGACAATGAACACGTTAAATATATGCGACGACGTGCTAAGCATCTGCTTATCAAAATAAACAAGAACGATAGTAAATAATCGTTGTCGAATTTCGTTAGTTTAAAAAGGATGCAATGAAAACATTAAAACTTTCACTTTCTCGTTTTATGGTTGAAACTAAGGAGGCAGAAAAACACACCAAGGCAATAAGAAGATTAACATCGGCGATAAAGGAAAAGAAGTGTTGAAGAATCTAGACGAGAACAGTTTGGTTGTGCAACAATTTCGCGTCTATGCAGCAGAGTTAGACGACAAACACGATCGATATGAGAGGATCTTGAAAATTGGTAGAGATATCACAATAGAGAGTAAAAGAATTATCTATCTTCTACACAGCATAGACAAAAAAAGCAAACAGGAGAGTGTATTAAATGAGGCCAAAATAAGACTGCAAAATGTTGCACAGAATAATTTTAAATGCATCGCTCTGGAATTGGAGAACGAAGATGGCTATCAATACTTGAGAGCTTATCGTGGTAGTTTAGAAGAATACATAGAAGCATTTACCTTCTACCATTATTTAAATAGTAATAATTTAGAAGACTGGACAGAATTGGAAAAAATGATTACTTATACAATTACAGACAGACCCGAAGTACAGACAATAAATACTTTGGTCACTCCACACGAATACATCTTGGGCATTGCAGATCTAACTGGAGAACTTATGCGGAGATGTATTAACAACTTAACGCAAGACACTGCTAGTTGTTACCAAATGTGCAACTTTGTCAGAAATATGTACACAGGTTTTCTGAGCTGTAAAATACTGAATTGTAAAGAAATGAACAGGAAACTATCTACTCTAAAGCAAAGTCTGTGCAAAATAGAGAATGTTTGTTATACCATTAAAGTTAGGGGTTCTGAAATACCAAAGCACATTCTTATAGATGTAGCAACTAAAAACTATGAAGAAAACGATGAGGGATACCAAGCGTATTAGTCAGTTGTGTACATTGTAAAATAATATAAATATAATAATTATTTACCAGCCCAATAGATTTGTCATAAAATTAGTTTTAGACTTTCATTATTATGCAGAGCGAGCCCGTTAATTTTTTGAAAATATTTCAACTTTCAGGCCTAGATGAGTCACACATATATGCATAGCAATGCACTAATAGCATACATATGTGTATAAGGTTTGCTGTTAGAACCAAACTCACATGGATATGGCGGTTTCACTGTATTATCTTATCTTAAAAATGTATTACATACAATTATATTAATATATTTACAGATTTCATAATATATTTAATTGTTCAATATCATAACAAATTGTTCACAAAATACATTCTTTTACGTATTCTCAATTTTGTACATTAGACAATATAGCAAGTAACTATCAATATTAATATAAGTACTAAATGCAAATCTCTGAATACATAATTAAATTTGTTTCAAATCCATTACAAAAATATTCATCTGTTTAATCATCAAATATGTCATCTTCCCAGTCACTTTCATTTTGATCAAAGTGTTCGTCATAGTCTGAATATTCCGCTTCGCTAGTCGGTTCGTACTCTGATTCATCTACTGATTCTTCCTCAGAATCATCTGCAAATAAATCTTCTATGTCAGATAAATCATACAATAACGGTTGCGATGGCTTTTGATGATTTCGTTTCTTATCGTTAGTAGCTTTTTTTGTTGTGTGTTTATATTCCTCTTTATGTTGAGGATTTTTACGATAACACTTTGTACCATAAGGACACTCTTTTCTGTTATCTGGAATATCGTAATCAGGATCCTTGGGATGACTAAATTTAGCTCTGTGATGTGGATTTCTCCTACATAAAAATAATGTCAATATTGCACATATTGTAATAAGAAAATAAAATAAAATTACCTATAACATTTTTCTCCATATATGCACTTCTCTCTTCTAGGCGTTTTTGATGTAGTACGAGCAGCCACATTTTCCTTATTTGCTTGCTCTGAAGCATGCGATTCTGTATTTCTTGTTACAATATTGTCTGGACTCGCTGAATTTGATGCATGCATTTCATCTGCATTGCTGGAACTATTATAAAGCAATATAAAATATTTAAGTTATTTTAATTATTTTATTAAAAAGTTAATAATTAAATACTATATGAATATAAATATAAATTCAAATTAAACCTAGATGCATGAATTGTCCCAATAATTGGACTTATTGATTCTGTAGCAACTACACCATTTGATAAATCCTTTTTAGGTATACAAATTTCTTGATCTTTTATTGTAATTGTATTATTGTTATTAGTTAATGTATCATTTGATACATTGTTAACAGATCGTAAATTATCTCCTTCCCCTGACTCTGAACAAAGCATTTTGTCAGGTATATCACAATCTATGTCTCCTTCAGCCTAGTTTTATTAATACAAAATATGTGAAGATTAAATTACGCTATTAATAAAACATTAATGTCATACTTTTCGTTTCACAGCATGTTCCTCCTTAATTTCCATTGTGGAAGGTACAGGTACAATTTTAAAGCAACATTTATCTGATACCAAAGAACAAATGTCACCTGGTTTAATTGGAACAGTAGTACCCAGCTTAAGTAATTGCCATCGAGAGGTTTCAGAAGATCTCATGAAACACGATACAACCTAATATTAACAAAATACATAATATGTATAGAAAACTATGTAACATTTCATTCATATGTGTAAAAGATATCAAGTTTACATTACCGGCGTTAGTGTCAATTCATTGTTAGGTAACAAATTGATCGTTGCTGCATATTTGGTAATTTGACCATTTTTCCGCTGTAATTAATTGTATGTACAAAAATGACAATATACGCAATGAAATAATAGTAAAATTCTGTCGAGGCGTAAGCTTCACGTTTAAAGCGTAATTCGTGTGATGGGATGGACAACAAACATCACGTGATATGTAACGCATATTCGCGCATGCGTGAAGATATTTTTAAACGAAAATAACGGAAATTTCAAATTAATTTAAAATTAAATATAATTTCCAATCAATTATTTCCTTATTAAAGTATCTACTTTTAATATTGGTTAGGTGTAGTGTCAATTCGTACTTACTTCAGTACCAACGTTTTGTGGGATAATATTATTACCAATTTGTAAATTTGTTTTTTGCACCAAATCATTGTTCACCGTAAGTACTTGAAACTTTCTCATATTTTTCACGTATAAACTTTTTACTAAAATTTAATAATTTTTTTCTAAATTATGAACCGATGACAAAACACAATTCTGTTCGAGCAATTAAAAAAAAAAAACGAAATTAATCATAGTCAGCTAGGTATACAGTGCGACAAAAAAATGGGTATATCTACCGCAATTTTTACTACACATATACAGAGACAGTCTGTATGTAAACTTCTATGTATTTAAGCAGATACGTTCCCTAAAATAATTTGACAATTTTGGGCAGCTGTATGGTGAAAAATGTACACTGGGGCGCTAACAATTAAAATTTTTTCATTTATAATTACAAAGAATGTACACCTTTACAAACAAATGAAGTGAAATGCGAAGAGAATTAGATATTCGATGCGATGTCGTAAAGCTCTGTGTGTAAGTTTCTCATAAAAAAGTCGTCGAGTAGGAAATGATCAATGAATTTTCCACTTATTCATTTAAATGTAATCAGCCAGATTAATCTGCCAATGTAAAACATAATTATCAAAATATCGTCTCGAATCGTTGTATGTCTGTATCAAGCGAATAGCTACAATTATTATTCTTAATTGTTGCTTTAATTTTAAACACATATGCTTTGAATACGAAGAAATCTTGTTCGCTTTACAAAACGAAAAACAAAGCATTTATCCGGCATGATCAAAGTATATATACATATACACATATGTATTATACCATGTACTGGAATAATGAAATAATTAATAGCATCACCGTTCGATTCTACGAACTCCGATCAGTGCCAGGCGTGAAACAAAACGCACCGTTTATTGTGCATTATGTATCCGTTCTGCACACAATGTAGGAACATCATAAATCTCGAATTCGATCAATCAAACACAGTTTGGTATTTAACAGGCCATTTTCAGTTTAAGTTCCTATTAAAACATTCATCTTATTGTTAGCACACGACAACGCGACTCACGACGTTAATATAATTCTCACTTTCATGGCTTACAATTAGGTAATTAATTAGTATCAGCATACACACGTATCACAGCATACCTCCGGGAACTTGCCATATATAAAACGATTAATATTATTACATACTGGTCATTCTTTAAAAACCAGAATGCGCAATGTGTAAAGTAATACGTTTAATAAAATGTTCGTAACTAAAAGATACAGTATGTATGTACAACCCTTCTTCAAATATCTTCAAAATCGCGATAACTTTTGGTGTTTTAATGAAATTTTATAATTCATCGATTAATAGAACTTTCGTAACAAATAAAAACAGAACCTTATTAACATATACAGATGATTCAAGAATGCTTTATTCTTTATTACAATTAGATTGCGGATCTTTATGCAATTATCTATTCTTATAAATATTTTAATAAAAATTACAACAAGGAAAAATTTCTTTCATCAGCCAGAAAATTCCTTAAATGCTTAAAAATCCGCAGGTCCTTTATAACTAATCACATAGTAAAATAACCGTAATAAATTTTGCTATGAAATCAAAGATGTTATTGCTGTGACTAGTAGTTTCCCACAATGGAAATGTTACTTCAATTAATTAGGTTCTTTTTTTAACAATATTAAAACATTCTTGACAGGTATTATTGTCTAGGAAACTTTGCTTAACTCATTCTTAATTGTGTAAGTCGTACAACTAGCTCGATTACTGTTTTACATCTTAAACTCAATTCATTTGTGTTTTCTTACTAAACATTTCTGAAAAATGCCCATAAAAAAGGGTGCAAAATTTGCCATCGTCCTCTAGTCGTTTCCAGAAAATTACAACAATATAAAATTGTTCTTACGTGTTGCATTACATATATATTTATATAAATTAATAAATAGTATCGCCGTATGGAATATTCCGTTTGAAATACTGTCTATTATTAGAATATTCGGTAATCATTTGTTTATACATTCATACTTCATAACATATAGACTTTTGTATCTGAGAACTATGTCTGCATATGTAAATTGTAACATAGATACATATATCTCACTTATCAATTTTGTTCACTGCATAGATCATTCATTACTTTTGGCTTGATGAATTGATTTAAAAGATTACAATGTCTATTTTGCACTAGTACAAAATTACTTTGTAAGAAATAGGATTACATAACGTGTATCGTTCATTGAAAATGTTCGTCGATCATTTATTATTAAAATATGTAATAATATTTTGTAGGTCTCAGATACAAAGTAGCATTTTATACAAAATCCTCAACTGATCGTACACTTTCGATGTATACTCATTATAGATTTCCAATAAAGCGAACAAGTTTCTTAGAAAACCATTCAAACAACTATATAATAAAATAAATAAAAATTCCATCAAATGGAATTAACTTA